GCTCCCTGAGCACGATGTCTACCTGCCCCGTGCCTCGTTAGGGCTCAGTAACGCCTTCTCTAGATGGCAGGGGGAAGGGAGCAGGAGTTAGTTCTAGACTCCAGTCCCCTTTGCCAGTCTAAATCATGACAGCTTGACCAGCCTCTTTCTTTTGTGGTTCCATGGCTGCAGGCTGAACTCCTAACCTAAACCTAGCACCATCTTCCTTGGCCAAAAAGCAAGGTTTACAGGGTGCTTTCCCCTCAGTCGTGTTCCTCCTCTGGCCATACTTCCACCGGTCTTGTCTCGGAACGTGGCACTGCTCGGCAAACGCATGGGCTTCTTTAGTGTGTGGCTCTGGGGACTGGCGCTCTCCAGAGAGCAGGGACCCAGTCCCCACGGGGGCTGCCCTTCCAGCCGTGGTGTCCCTGGAGAGCAGAGCCCACCTTATGAGTTTTTGTTTCTAAAATACAACCACTAATATTCATACATTTAAAAATCCAAGTCAGGTGAATTTCCCACAGGCCATTCTGGGGAATCAGCCGTCTTCCTCTCAGTATGGGATGTCTTGGCAGAGCACGCTCAGTACGATTGTCAGCAATAGCAGGAAGGTGCTCTTTCTTCCTCTGTTGTATGTTCTCACTGTTCTTGTGGAGTTACTTTGCTTCCTTTAGGCCCAATTGTCTATGCTGTTGCTCCCAGAGCCAAGTTCAGATTCTTCTATTGAAAGAGGAAAAAAGGTGGCCAAAGTCACATTTTGCCTGATGAAGACTGCCTGGCCCACCTGGGCTGTGCCTAGACCTGGGACTGATCACTATGAAGGTTCTATGATTGGCCCAGCTTGTAGCAAGTGACCAACCCCTCAGCCAATCACCATCACCTGGGTGGTGGCCCCCATAAGAGAATGTCAGCTCCTTTTTAGACTTTCCTAATGAAGGAAAACACACTTCCAGGTGTGTGTGATGGGTAAATGAGTCCCTAGCAGCATTGCTGCACCTCCAATTTGAGAAAAAATAGTTTGGCCTCTTTGCCACTTCTCAGTTTCTGTCAGAGATGATAAAATCTGAGGGAGGCGTTCCGGTCTGCCTGACTTCCTAGGTCAAGGTTCATTCTGGGTATGGCAGTATTAAGAGGTGGGCCTATGTCACAAGAGCCCCGTGGGATTAGTGCCCTTATAACAGAGGGCTGGAGGGGCCTTCCGCTCTTTCTAGCACGTGAAGACAGCATACTCTGCCAACGTTTGGCTCTCCAGCCTCCAGAACTGTGAGCAGTCAATTCTGTTGTTTATAAATTACCTAGGCTAAGGAAGCCATTTTGAATACCAAATGGACTACGAAACCCCCCAGGAGTGGCAAGGCTTGCTGGACACAGCTTGTAGCTCCAGTTGGTTCAGGGCCAGGCTCCGTGCACCGTGTGGGTCCCTGTGCTGTGGTGCGGGGTTTTTCCTGTGTGCACAGCTGTGACGGTGAGGGTCCATCTTCTGAGAACAGCCAAAGCCTCCCCTAGCCCCCAGCCCCCCGTGCAGGGGACCGTGTTCTTCTGGAACCATCAAATACTGTCCATCGTGAGGCCACTGCTTTGGGTTTTGTTTATTGGTTGGTTTTGTTTGTTTTTTTTGGTTTGAGTTGTTTTTTTTTTTTTTTTTGCTGAACATTCTTTTCTTCTTTTCCTCTGTTGCTATCTTAGTTTTCTTCCTTTTTAAACCAAGATAAGATGTTTCTAGTTTTCTTAAGGATTCTTTTGATGAAATAATTCTAATTTATATTTTTATTTCTCTTGTAGCCTGGGGAGCATTTTTATGTGCACAAAGTCTTCTTTTGTGATCTTATCCAAGACAAACTTCTGGTTCTTCTTTTTCTCAAAGTTACTACTAGCCAAACTGAAACTTAAAAATCAGCTTACTAAAAAGTTATGTAGGCCTCTGCCTGTAGAAAAAGTTGCTCTGCTATGGAAGTTTTTAATTTTTTTGTAAAGGGCCAAATAATAAATACTGTAGACTTTGTACATATGGTTTCTATCAGTATTACTCAACTTTGCCATTGCCATGTAGAAATAAGCATAGATAATGAACACATGAATAGGTGTTTCCCAATAAAGCTGCATTTTCAGAAACAGGTGACGGTTCAGACCTGTGCCAGAAGCCATAGCTGCTGACTGTGGCTCCAAAGCATCTTCTGCTTTGAACCCTCTTAGAAAAACTGGAGTTAAAGACTTTGAGGTGAATGTATCATAATTTTTATCCCTCTCTCATGGAGTAAAAATGAACTGTATTTAGACAAGGTGCTGAAGGGGGGATCACTGAGCTGTGGAGACAGATTAGGGCATTGGAATTGATGACCTTAAAATACCTCCTTATTGCATGCCATACTCCACCCTGAGAACCTGCTCAGCAATGGTACAGTTACACATACGTGATTTTGTGCATGTATCTGTACGTTTTTTGTAGAATGCACACATATATGGTGTGGATCTGTGCGGAAAAGCTGAGGACTGCTTACCTGTCTAGCAGAAAATGTCCTACCTCAGATGGATGGGAGAGAAAGACTAGGGAAGGCATGCCTAACACGAAGGAGAAACGGTGACCTAGCACAGATTTGCACCAGTGTAAACAATAGTGATGTTGCTACCCAGTGGCGGATTTACTGCCAGCCAGCTGTGGTCTGGGACAGGAACACAGCCATGGTGAACCTCCACTACTACTCAATTTGTCCAAAATCTATTTGCACAAGCCCTTTAAAAACACACCTACTGCTGGAAGGAAATGGAAAGACTTGGAAACAAATTATACTACATGAAATAAGCCAGACCAAGAAAAACAAAGCTGCATAGTTTCCTTCATTTGTGGTAGATAGAGCCCACCTACAGATCTGTAAGTGAACACACTGGGCCACATGCAGGTGGTTTACACATGAATTATGCGTGTTTCCGTAGTGTAGCGGTTATCACGTTCGCCTCACACAAATGAATTAACCAAAGTATAATAGACTCTATAGAAAGCTCAAATAATATACAATAATCTTTTAGAAAGACTAAGTGAAAGCCCAACAAAACTGACACCAGGAAATGGGTACACTGGGAAATGGGTACACCAGGAATGGGTACACTGGGAAATGGGCACACCAGGAATGGGTACACCAACCAGGAATGGGTACACCGGGAATGGGTACACTGGGAAATGGGCACACCAGGAATGGGTACACCAACCAGGAATGGGTACATCGGGCCAGGGGGCAAGGGAAAGACAAATGAAGGGGAGAAGGAGCTAAGAATGCAGTAGAAAGCATTCCCTGTATAAACTACAAGATTAAGAAAACTGAGGGAAGGCCTAGGTTGAAGGGAGGTGAAATGTTGATCAAATACATTGTATTCATAAACTGCTTTATTAAATGGCACCTCCTTTGTACAACTACTTAAAGATAATTTAAAAATTAAAACAAAAGCCCTACACCTACTAGGTGAAGTCGGGGTTACTTGCATTCCAGAGGAGCTGGAGAGAGGCCTGGGGTGCCCAAGGGAGCCAGAGAGGCATGGCAGGAGCAGAGCCGAGCAGCCGGTCATGGAAATGTGTTCTTCCATTTCCCGTGTTCCACTGCTGTGCATCTGTGATTTATTTTCCAGCACATGTTGGAATTTGACAGACTCTCATGCTGGCCTGCTTCACAGCTGAAACTATTTGCCACTTGGTAGATGATAAAGCAAGTGACAGTTTACACTAAAAAGGCTGTAGAAGAAGCCGTCTGTGAAAGAGACAGACAGGTGTCAAACCGACTCTCAGGGCCTCCTCGATGGGGCTGTAGAGCCCTCAGCTTATGCCAGGCCTTGTAACAGAGTTGAATTCTGCACACATCCTGCTTAAGGGTGGCACACTGGTGTGATGGCAGAGAACTGCACCTTACAGAACCCTCGCTCATGTGCACAGGGATGGGTACGTGCCTCTGGCAGCTGCAGCTGCTAGGGAGCCCTGTCCAAGATCACAAGTGCCAGCTATTCCAGGACAGGGTGGGAGAGCCAGCCTAGGACAGCACAACATGCGATGAAGACACGGGCCAGGAGGGGCCGGCCCTGCACTGCACAGGCCTTCGCTGCAGAAGAGCCCAGGCCTGGGAGGGTCTTCTGTGAGGGCCTTTTATCTGGGTGATAGAGACCCACGTGGCTGCCTGTTTCAAAGGGGTAGGTCTCAGGTCACTCTCCCACATTTCTCTGTTTTATGTTTTATGCTTCTCCATTCTATTCTATTCCATCCTGTTCTTCCTTTCTGCCTAGGATAGAATAGTCTCTGCCTTTTACTTCTTTGGCTCAGACCAATCCTATTGCACACCTATCAGGGGTGCTGGAGTGGACATTTCTGATGACACCCTGGGTAAGCTGGTATGAAATGTAGGATTAGGCAAAAGAAAGGAGGTAGCCCGAGAACGGGGGCACTGGGAGGCGGGCAGAGAGGAGATGGCACCTGGGGAGAGGTGACTGCTCCAACAGTGGCCAGGGAAGCAGGGGAGGGGTGGGTGACAGGAATCAGTGGAGATGAATAGAGGCCAGATTTTGCACGTCTGTGCTGGGCTGCAGGATGTGTGTTTCCACGGGACTCACTAGTGGAGTGTGGCGTGACTACTGGTCATGAGAAGGTTTTGGAACGGGATCCGTGTGGACACTACACTCCAGCAAAGCTGTTGGATAAAGTTAAGGAAAAATGTGTTTTGGATTTAGCCATGAGGAAGCCATTGGTGACCTTGGCATCACTGCATGGAGTAGGGGAAGAAACAGCCAGATTAAGTGACCTGAGGCTCTGGAATCTGACAAAGCAGACCCAGCGAGTGTGGATTACTCGGAAGAAAACAAGGCATTTTGAATTGTGTGGATGTCTTCGCGTTGCAAGTTTTCTGCCAAAGAATGTTGGGAATGCCAAGCAGCAAACAGCTGGTGCAGCCTTGCTTCTCCTCTTGGCAGAGCCGTGGAGTGTTTCTGCCCTGTCCCGTCACTGGGTCCCAGGCAGAAGCTGGTCCTAACAACCTTCTCTCTTTCAGGCCGGATCCTGGACCTGAAGACGGGGACGGTCAAGAAGGAGGGGCAACAGTCCTCGATGCGGATGTGCATGGGCTCGCGGCGCTCCTTCATCTGCAGGATGAGGTCTGACGGGCCGCGGTGCCGGGGCCGGGTGCGCCCTCTGATCTGCCATCAGAGCCTGCAGTGGCTCTGCTAAGGTCACAGGGGCTGACTTGCTTTCTCTCCAGTGACGGCAGCCTGCTGGGTCTGTGGAAGTGTTCCCATCTGTCTGTCCCCCTCTCTTCCACCCATTCTTAGACTCACACCTCACTGTCCTACGATTCTCCTGACTGTTTACCCGTCCGGCCTGTCCTCCCAGGGCGTACCCCTGCCTCCGACCACCACCCAGCAGTGCTACCAGATGACGTGTCCATCACTAGAGCCTCTCAACCAGCACTCCCATACCCCTGTGATCAGAACCAGGACCCCAGCCTTTTAGAGACACTGAGCTTTGTGGGGATTAGTTTATGTCTGAACCAGAACAACTCAGAAAGTAAAGACTGAGGCTGCAAAACTTGACCTCAGAGGGGAGCTGAGCAGGAACTGCAACCACTAGCAAAGAAACAAGGCCAACTTCTTCCTCCTCCTCCTGCTCCTCTTCCTCCTCCTCTTCCTCCTCCTGCTCCTCCTCCTCCTCCTGCTCCTCCTCCTCCTCCTGCTCCTC